CACACTTAACTAAGCGAGAAAAAAATTATGGTGCATGTATGGAGATGATGTGTTGAGAGAATGAAAGTTTGCAAAACTGGTTTACAAAATTTCGTTCTTGCAATTTCAATATTGAAGATGCACCACATTATGGATGGCCAGTTGAAGCCAATGAAAACAAAATAAAGTTACTGATTGAAGCAAACTGCCAAATAACAACATGTGAAATCACTAAGAGATTAAATTTGTTGAATTGAACTGTTTATGATTACTTGAAATGAATTGGTTTCATTTCAAAGCGCGATATATGGGTTTCACATGTTCTTAAAGAAAGTTGCTCTCTTTGGTAAGGAAATTTTTTTCTGAGCTTTTACTAGACAATTTAACAATTGATTCAAAAGTGTATTGCCATTGAGTAAATAAATATCATCAAACAGAAAAGGCCCGAATTGATCAACAAAACAGGTGTAGTGTTTTATCATGATAATTCCAAATTTCACACAAGTTTGGTAAATCATCAGAAACTGTTACAGCTTAGATGGGATGTGCTATCACATCAACCATACTCGCCAGATCAGACACCCTCAGATTATTACTTGTTCTGGTCTATACAAATTTGTTTAAACTGTAAGACATTTACTTGAAGTGAAAATGGCAAAAATTACTTGGATCAGTTGTTTTGTAAGCAAACATCAAAACTTTTATGAACATGGAATCATGCTACTACCAGAAACGATGGCAACAGGTATTTGACCAAAATGGTCAGTATATAATTCAATAAAATATTTATTTGTTATAAGAATATTAGGTGTTTTTCCATGGAAAAAAAACGAAATTACTTTCCGAACAACCCAATAATAAGAGCTGAAACAACATGTAGGGAAGGAAAAAGAAAAACAAGGAAATATCTAAACTATAAATAAAAGAAAAATGGCAATTATCTCAATGCTAGAAAAATGGCAATTTTTCTAGCAATTTCTTGTCAAGTTTTAATTTCTTACATCTTTCTTTTTCAATTCTTCTTAACTGCCCTTGTTTTGTTGTCTCTTGTTTCTGTTCTTATTTCTTCTTAGCATCTAAATATTCCTTGCATTTCGCATTGACAATTTGAACTATGGAAAGTTTTTTAGTTATAACTAACTAACTCTGGTTTATTTTTTTTCAAATCTTTAAAGGACTCTTGCATATCATTACTGAATTTAATCTACCTTCATCCAATGAAGCTCTTAAGTTTGATAAAGCTTATGCAGAAATTAAAAATCTTCTTCCAACATCATTTCCTGATAATTTTTAAAATAACTATAATTTAATTTTACCATTATAATTATTATAACTTTAATTGCCTATGTAAAATGTTAAATATTGTATTAAATAAAGTACATTTTTGTTTTCTATAGTATACTGCTAACTCTTAATAAACCTTTAGCTAATTAATACTGTTTGATTATTTTATTCTACTATACTAACAGACAAACTTGACATTGCCTAAATTAAACAACCAGTAAACTTTTAATATAGTTTCCCATTGGTTAATATCATCACATAAGAATGTCTAGTTTTATATTTTTGTAAAATCACTGTATATTCTGTATAACTGTATGTGTTTGTAAAATCACTGTTTTGCATGTTCAGAATAAATATCATAAAAAGCTTCTGTCTGAATAAACATTTCATAAAAATTTTTGTAGAATGCATTATTCATACTAATTGTCACTTACTTACATTTAATTTTATTTCGTTAACATGTAATAAATATTAAAATTTATCTTAAAGTTAATTTTTATATTTACTAAACATATTTAGATTTATATATAATTTTGCTCTGTTGTGCAATCATTAATGCAAATTCAAACAACCTACTGTTTTAGGTTTGAATTCACATTAATTTAACCTAAAACAGTAGGTTTATTGTTTATTTATAAATATTTTTTATGAAATCTTTTTATATTTTTACTATAAAATTAATACATACACAAATGAAAAGCTATCATTAAATTTAGTGATGTAATCACCAAAATCACTAAATTTCTTCATTTTTGAGATTTCATAAGAAATAACTGATGAAGTTAATACAGAATAAAAATTATTTTTATTTCATATTAATTTATTCTAATATCATTTTAAAATAAATGTTAGAATAAATTAATTCAAGCAGATGTTGACACTTATAATGTGCTACAAAGAATTTAATAAAAACTTACATGAAGTGGAGTCAATCCACTACTATCCAGAATATTTGCATTAGCTCCTGCCTGCAGAAGCATAAGTAAAATTTCATCATGACCTATAATACTGGCTAAGTGAACTGCAGTTTGTCCTTCATGATTTTTTGCATCCAGATTATGATATCCAGATTTTAAAAGTTCTCCCACAACAGTGACATCACCTGTTATTAGAAAATGATTCTTCTTGTAATACTAATAATATATTTCATATTTTAATATATATATATACACACAAAATAAAAAACACCAAATAATTGGGAATTATTCAAAAAATATTAAGCTGGTAAACTTAACATTTTGTAAAATATTGCAGTTTTAACTTAAAATATTACAAATAAATTAGCAGGCTACTGTCTAAAAAATTATTAGAAATTGAAATAAAAATACTTTTAAAAGACACAAAAAAGATCTATTATAGCAGTAGAAGAATTTCATCTTGNGGAACCTAACCCCCCTTTTTGCACTAGTTCTTTGTTTCGTATAACACGGATTCGCATAACACAGAAATTTTTTGGAATGTAACTCCCATGTTATACGGGGGTTACCTGTAAATTAGAAACAACATAACAATTACAATTTTTTTTTTTTTGGGTTATTTAAATCTGTAACAGCAGTTAGTTTAACTTTAATTAATGAAATAATTAAAAAATTGTTACATAGTGATGTTAGTAGCAATTTTAAATTATCTAGAACTTTGTTTATATTTATAAAAAAATATATTCTATTTCCTTTTATTAAAGCTAGGATACAAATAAATCCTCAAAAATAAAAATGCTATTAAAAATAAACCATGTCTCAAATAAACCCCAAAGTTGAAAAGCATGGATAACACTAAAGTACTACACTGTATAGAATAATATAGTTTAGAGCAATAGATAAGAAATTTAACTAAAATTTTACCTCTTCAAATTATCTGGAATCAGATAGCATTTTCTATTCCAGATTAACAAGAACATTTCATGAAATAAAATTATAAATATTGTTGAATATTGAGCATGGGGAATGTCATAACTGAATTCATAAGTTGCTGAAGGATAATTAGTAAAACTCAAATTCAAAAAAAAACGGCACATTTAAACTAGAAAATGGTAGTCAAAATCCTGATTCCACCAATAACATCAAAACAAATATGAATGACAATGTAATAATCAAACTGAAAGACATAATCAGGTTTAACTATGAAAACAGTAATCATTTCACATGTTGTAGCTGTATCCCATAAATTCAGTCAATAAAGGGTTTTGATAGATCTAAAAATGTATATGTAATTAAGAAGTTATTTCTTTTGATTTTTACTCACTCATCTGTTGTTGCAAGATGTGAGGGATGAACAGACCCACAATAAAGTGTTATTTTAAATTTTAATTATTGGAAACTTTAATCGGTTAAATTCGAGCGTTTTATCGAGTTAGGCTAAAAGCCATAAAAATTATTTCCCACGGAGTTTGTTCCTTGTTGAGTCGGATCCAGTTAGTCAGGGATGTGTCACCAGGAACTTTCGATGGAGAGCCCATATTGGATGCCAGACCCTTAACAACAACCACCTGACCTAATGGAAAAACCCGAGAGAGAAAAAAAAAAAAAAAAAAAAACCCCAAGAAGAGAGTCGTCTTCAAAAGTCCGCCCAACAACGTCGTCCTCCAGAAACAAAATCGTGACCCAGGATTCAAATTGTGACCCAGGATTAAAACCATGAGAAAAAATCGTGCCTGGTTAAGCCTCTACACTCCTCCATGCCTCCACACCAGTGAACGGACAAGATTCGGAACTAGTGGAAAGAACAGTCCATCGACAAGGTATTTATCAACCCGCGATTCGTTTGTAAACTCTCTTTCTTGATGGGCCTCTCTTAAATAGGGGAACTATGACCGAAATTGACTCTCTCTGTATTTCCTTTAGTTTCATTAAAATTGTTAATTGTTAGCAACCATGGAATCCAATTAATTTACTTCCTTGTCTCTCTCCTCACCTCTACTCGGAATCCAATCGCTCACCCGCTACCGCTCGCGTGACGTAACGTCGCGATTTCCGAGTCCTGCGAGACTCGGTGGTGTCAGATTCAGGTCTCCTGATGTGGTGTCAAAGAGACACTGACCCTACGGTCACACAAGGTAATAAACCAGGCATCAAAAAATCCCAGGTCAATCAATATATTCAGTCAACTTGCATTAATACAAATCTGTAGGGAAACAATAGTTAGTTCACTTTATCAAGAATTTGTAATAATGATTTTCAAAATCAAGATCACATAATTTAGGGAGTTAAGGCTTAATAGGCAATCAAATCTCTAAATTATAATATTTTGAATTAATTTACCAAATAAAGTTAAATAAAATTAAATNCTCCTGATGTGGTGTCAAAGAGACACCGACCCTACGGTCACACAAGGTAATAAACCAGGCATCAAAAAATCCCAGGTCAATCAATATATTCAGTCAACTTGCATTAATACAAATCTGTAGGGAAACAATAGTTAGTTCACTTTATCAAGAATTTGTAATAATGATTTTCAAAATCAAGATCACATAATTTAGGGAGTTAAGGCTTAATAGGCAATCAAAATCTCTAAATTATAATATTTTGAATTAATTTACCAAATAAAGTTAAATAAAATTAAATTCATTTACAAAAACAAATTAATGTTCTAAGTGATTTTCAAATCAAACAAAAAGAAGGAGGTGATAGTATTTGCCATTTAAGTGTGAAGCAGTATATCAGAGTGGTTAAACAAAACAAAGCTAAAAGAAATCTGATTTTTTTTCTGTTGAAGATTATTTGGAAAAGTAGAAAATATTTCTTTGGGTCAAAAGAATAAAATAAGACTTAAATTTCATAAAAAGTAGTTAAACCTTGCATCACTATTATGCACTTCCCTATATGCAAACTAGCATGTTTGCATGGGACCACATCCATTTAAAGGGGTAAGAATCCTTAAACTTACCCTATTTTCTGAATGTAACAGAATGGCCTGCTAAAACCAGATGTTTGAATTGCTCTACAATTGCAGGTCAAACTTGTCTTTTCTTGCTAGAAGAAAATCTATTATACTCAAAATGAAACCTTTGTTACAGTACCACTTTTTGCTGTTCATGTCAAACAGTGTAAAAAACAACCATTATTGGAAATAGGGTTGTGAAGGTAATTTACAGTTTGGTTTAACTTTTGTTCACTTTATTGCCTGAAAATTAATATTGTGACTAGGGTTTCTCATTTCCCAGTCCATTGCTTGTCCTGGAATTTTTAGAAAAAAGTGGGTTTCAAGATCTGTTTCCTGGGATATAATTAATTATTTTTAAGATATAAAATAGATCTTAAAATCGTACGATATAATCATTTTTTATTTAAAGTAACTTAATAAAATAATAATAATAATAATAATGCTGTGTAAAATATGTATTAAAAATTGCCTTTGAATTACGTAGAAATTTTAAGAAATAAAAAAATTTTATTAAAGTTTGTTAGAAACTGTTCACAGAAAAAAAAAAAACCTTTGAATTGAGTTGAAAATCTAAAGAAAAAAATGAACTTAGATCAAACTTCTAACTTAAAAGGTAATTTTCGTTTTTTAAATAAAACATAATTCAAAATATTATTGTAAATTTTATAATAAGATTTTAAAAAGCAAAGATAGTCAATACTCCGATCACTCAATCTGGTTCTTATTTTAGTAATGAAATGTCCTGCTACAGAGAATGCTCATTCCAATTCAATTGATGTGAGTGGAATCGTCTTTAATGTACTTAAGACAAGACAGATGTTATGTGTTTTTTCACCTATAGCCTCAAAGACTTCTAGTTCATTTTCAAGATGCGTTGCAGTACTTTTTTGTTGTGTAGTATTCTTGATTTATCTACTTGGCTTAAAATTAACTAACCTTATAAAGCCTTGCAGATATATTTTTAATGTATCACAAATGTTTTTGGTCCACCCTAAGACCTTCTTCAGATGAAGTTCTATTAGAGAAAACTTTTTCTGGTGCGATTCCATTCTATTCCATTTCCGACGTGTTCTCAACATTTGTTATACATTAAAAAATATTTGCAAAACTTTATAAGATTAGTGTGATATATATTTGTCAATGCTTTGTTTATGAGATGGATTTTATTGTATTCTGACAGTTTGTGAGTTAATTATACTTTCTATTTGCAAAATTTCCTCAACCTTAACACAAAAGAAAAAAATGAACTTTTAAGAAATTGGCAGGATTTCCTGGGATATTTTCTGGGTTAAAAAACAGCCAGGATTACCAGGATCCCATTAGAGAAACCCTAATTGTGAACAATGTTATTTTGCAAGGGCAATGGCAAAATTTGTTTTATCAGTATTCTTTTTAAGGCAAGACAACTATATATATATTCAGTTCTAAAACTGACAACACACGACTCATGCATACTATAGCTGTGTGATTACACTGCATACCTGTTAGTTATTATAAACAACAAAATCTACCAGCATGTAACGTAACTTTTCTGGCTTTAATGAGATTTTATTAAAACATAACTTTTATATTATAATTATAATAAATAAAATTGCATGTGGCACCATTTATTATGAGATTTTATTACAAAAAACATTAATGTTTTTGATTATTATAAAATGGCAAAAAGCTTAATTTTGAGGGCAGAAATGACTTATAAAAAAGTGTAAATGCTAATAACAAATAAAATCATTAAGTCTAATCTCATTAGAGATATGATATATGACATCCCTCTATCTCCCCACACCTTGACCTTTAACCACCAGAACTTAACAGCATCATTGCTCTTTATACACAAGCTACCATGCCAAATTTCATTTCGTCACCATTATCCCATCATGAGATATTAAATGAAATCGATGTCAACACACACATCCCACAGAATTTTTTTTTTCCTTTTTTTGGGTTCAGGGGTCTCAAAACATGGATTTTTGCAAAAAACTCAAAAGGTCAACTTTGACACGATTCCAATACTTTTCCTTGTTATCTATACATAACAGCCAGGAAAGTAATATATGATAAGAAAACTAACATAAATAATATAAAAACAAAAGACTAGTAAAATTCCAATCACAAGTAAATTTTCAATACAGTCAATTCCATTTAATTGGGCCACCAGTTAATCCAGACAGCCACTTTATTGGGCCAAATCCCAAAGAACAGAAACCAAACTAATAAATTAAT